CTGAGATTTGGCTGAGCAATCAGCAGAAGAGAGAAAGAATTGAAAACAACTAAATAATTGGATAAGTGCAAGTACACACACTTACATAAACACACACACTTCAATCACTTAATGTTGTATGCAAATAATTATTCTTAATTAAGCTAATTAAGCTAGAGTATGTTGCTTGTTTTGAGTGTCATTTTACTAGACAGGAAGCACAGTTAAAATCATGTAATATAAAATAAAATGTAATAATAGTGTATTTATTTAAATATATATGTTTATATGTATCTATATAAACTTTTTTAATTTCAATGATTATTATTACATTTTATTTGACATTATTCTAACTGTATATATATATATATATATATAAATAGAAAAACGGTACATTGTAAAATATTATTACAATTTAAAATAACAGTTTTAGATTTGAACTTATTTTGTAATGTAATTTATTCCTGTGATGCCAAAGCTGGATTTTCAGCATCACATGATCCTTCAGAAATTATAATATACTGAATTGCGGCTAAAGAAACATTTCTTATTATTATCAAAGTTGAATATAGTCGAGAAACTTAATATTTTTGTGGAAATTGTAATAAAAAGTTTTCAGGATTCTTTGATAAATAGAAATGTCAAAGAGGAGAATTTTTTTTAAATGGAAATTGTAAATGTCTTTACTTTTACTTTTCATCAATGTGTCCTTTCTAAATAAAAGTATTAATTTCTGAACCCAAACTTTTGAATGGTATGTATATTGCCTAATATATATTGTATTATATATATTGTATACACACACACACAGCTACATATATACATTTAAAAAAACATAACATGCAGATGCAGGGAAGATACAGCTAGACAGGAAATTAGAGGGAGAGGCCAGAGACAGGACGGTCTTGAAATTGCATTTCCAGCGGTACAACAGATGTGCCATGTGCATTTGTATGCAGTACAACAGTCGTGCCCCAAAATCACAGTATTACTATGGTTTGCCCTATGTAAGGACATTTTGCACAACTTGCTTGCACAATCTCGCAGAAAGCTTTCATCCATGTGAAAAAGCTCACACATCGGTGACAGCAAAATCAGTCACAGTGGGTGCAGCTGGGCGGAGATTTTGAGATGCACAATCGCACTTCTCACAAAACACAACACACTCCGACATACACCCAAATTTCTATATTTGTTGTCATGTGCATGCTGGAATGTAGTTGCATTCCACAGACCCACTTCTGAGGCGAAGGACCTTTGAATGAAACCAAATAAGGAAAACAGGAAAGGACCACTAACCAGATGCAACAGAGACTGCGGTGCTTGAGTTTAGTATCTACCCCTGACAAAACAACTAAAACAACCAAGTCGGATTTCGTCACCGTCCATCTGATTAAAGTCAACACAAATTGTCATTTCCAACTCACTTTACTTCCATAAATGATGATTCCTAAGTGAATGATCTGGAAATATTTTTTTAAGGTCATGAAACACATAAAACAGGCCTTAGCAGAACAAGAGAGTGACTAAACAGGAGTGTTGCATAGCAAGTCTTATCTGTTAATAAATGAGTCTGTCATCAGAATTGATCCCCACCCACATGTAGAGGTCGAGAGGTGACTTGATAATGAATCTCAGAAGGCCAAAGAATGACTCTCAGTGTCTATGTAAATGCAATTCAAGTTCTGCAGGCTCAGAACTGACAATCTGTATGGAAAACATTCGAAAACAAACCAGGCTCTGTAAACACTGTACACAACTTGAGGGCGCTCTAATAAAACACTGCTCTGTTTGTTTGAGCAGTCCTTGAGTTCTAATATACAGCTACATCTGCAGCTGAAGAAAGTTATCCGTTAGCATTCCCAGTCATCTCAATGGAAATTTAAACATTATTTCCATTTTAATTCCTGTGCTTTCATTCAGAGCCGGAAGAACCAAACCAATTATAAATGTTAGAGACCTCATAAAAGTGCGTTTTTCTGTCCGTTTTCGATTGAAACAGGGTGGGAGGGCTTTCCCATTTTATACCCCTGAAAAATAGCCTTTAGTTTACATCAAAAGACCGATTTTTGGTTTGTTTTCCCAGGAAAAGGGAATCATATGCGTGTATCAGCATAATAGTTAATTCTGTCATATTCTATGTGAACACTAGCAAATATAAAAAGCTTCAAACCTGATGGTCCATGTCTGATGGACTAAAAGCCACACAACACCCATTTTGATTTCATGAGGTAATGCATTTCCTTTCACTAAAGGCTTTCCATTTGTGGTCTGAGAAAAGACACAGCCCCAAATGTACACAGAGAAGTTTAACGTCATAATCGCAGTAGTTTTTGGACAAATGGCAGCAAAGTAGTCAACAAATTGCATCATCTCACAAGCATGCATACACATGCATATAAACACAAGGTGGGGCACTGATGAAGAAATAACTCTCAGGTGCGATATGATAGAGTCAGCATATTATTACACATTGTTTGCCCGTAACAAACAAAATAATCAAATAAAACATAACATACAAATCTCACTTAGGTAGCCAAATGCCCTGTGAGGGCCACTTTCAGGCTATTAGGCGAATATACCCCCAAAAATCATTTTAAAACTCAAAATCTGACAAATATAGCTTTCAGCTTTTCACACACTCCCCTTCTCTAAAAAGTATTACTGACTTTAAAACCAGCTGAAGGAAATCCTGAGTCCTGACGTTCTGTGTTCCAACAGTGTCTATATTTAGTAGTTTGTTCAACATGTGGTTTGTTGACTGAGTTTCAGTTGAGTCAGTGGGCATCTTAAGCCAGTTTGCTGTCTGCCTTCATGAATAAAGGCTGTATAGTAACAAAATCTTAAGCTCTGTACCAAAATCTAGTGAGCTGAGTTGCCTTGTCTACGACCTAGAGGCAGCTATCTGTTATAGGAAGCAATGTGCCGCACACAAATAGTGTAAAGATTGAGATTGAGTTGACATTAGTACCGGTATGTTGCATATACTGTACAAAAAATAGAGAAAATGTTATTATTTCCCTTTACTGTCATTAACGTGTTTTCTCTATTGTACTATATTCTGGGATTAGGTTTGCTAATTCTCCACAAATGAAACATGCAATGATGCCTTAGAATTTCGCCAAAATTAGTTATCTTATAAGGCGGCATAACCCACTCTGGCACGCATAGGAGGCCTTAAAATGTTGGGGAGGATTTGGTGAAAAGTCAAAAACAGAGCTCTTGTTGCACAAGTGTGCATAACTCATTATGACATCATCTTTGTACAATGATTAAGCAATGAACAGTATTTTTTTTTTGATTCAGCATCTGATCATGCTCAGAACGTGTGAAATCCCCATATGGACTCAAGGGCATTCAAACATTGAACCCTCCAAGGCATGATTTTTAACCTTTACAAAATCGACAGAAAAACACAACTTAAATATAATGTTTGCATTAAAGTTGAAGTGCAGGCAATGCTAGGAAACTTGTTTGCATTCAGGCAGTATTATTCTGTATTAGGTCAACAGCTGACAAATCTGACAGTCCATCTCTGAGACAACCTGGGGTACAAAAATACCATCTCATGCTTTAAATACCAAATATTAGCTGGTGAGTCCGCAAATAAACCGAGTCCGCATGTGTGCACCCAAACATAAAGATTTAGAAATAGTTGTGTGCTATTGGAAACACATGCAGTTGGAACACGTTCCTCTAGCTGTTCAGATCAATAGTGTGCCGCTAACTGAGCGGGAACTGACCCCACCACCCCCCGCTCCAATTAGTGTGACATCATTCTCAATTGTTTACCAGTATCTTTGTCAAATTCTTAAATCTTTAATGCTTTATTTCAGTTGATCATTATATGTTAGATATTAGCTTATATATAAGTCTTTTCAAATAAAATAAAAAATACTTTCAAATTCTATTATTATTATCATTATTACAAGTTGTGAGACATTCAAATGTAGTATGCACTACACAACTATTATTAACACTTTATTTTGGTGGTCCCTTTTGAACATTCTGTTGACTATAAGTAACTTTGCAACTACATGTCAACAACATATTCTAACCATACCAGTCTAATGCTCTAGCACTCTAATGAGAGTTAGTAGACATCTAGATGCAACGTTACTTATAGTCAACAGAATGTGTTAAAGGGACCTTCAAAACAAACTGAAACATAACTATTTAACTTTTTTTGTTCAGTTTAAAAAAAAATCTGTATGTAAATTAACAATGCCCATTTTTCACAGTGAAAGTGAGCGAGTGTCTTCCTTCGGGCCATTAACCTCAGTAGCTGATGCTGAACCAGGCTGGCATGTTGCACTGTGGGAATGTGCAGCACTTGGATACAAGCCTATTGGCCAACATCAGCCATATCAGAGAGCTCTGCTCATGCTCAAAACAACACAGCTACCCATGACGTCTGCATGACACCAGTTTTAGGTTGCAGGAAGCAAACTAGTGATATTAGTGTCATAACTGACATTAGAAGGAAAATTAATAGGCTAAAATATCAGATGCAAAAGTCAGAACCAAAGACAGCAATATCAGGCCAAATAGTTTTTAATTAATAAGGCAAACCACAGGTATTATGAATTAATTATAAGAAAGTATCATTGCAAATTGTGCAAAAAACATATCACTAAATAGTCAAATGAATCATAGTGAAACACACCCAGAAAGGCTATCAATAAACAACTACTGCGCATTGCAACATCTGGATTTGTTGTAATATTGCCAGTAAAACAGATAACAGAGACTGAAAAGTCCTTGGTGGAACTGCAGCTTTATTTCAGTGCTAAAAGTCCCTATAGTTACACTTTTTCTAACACGTTTCCTGGCATTCCCCACACATTCCAGCACTCCTCCTCCCTGCTGTGGGAACAAAGTCAAGACCTCCTGACCAGAGCACGGAACAAAAACTCAGGCAAAGTTTAAAAGCAAACGATCAAATCCTCACAATGTCAAGTTAGTCACTGCACCTCAAACACACTTAAGCAAACCTATGCATGCACGGTACTCTCTGAGACCTCAATGCGATTATATCCAGTAAGCGGCACCTGTTGCTCTACAGCGACATCCTGCAGGCCCACTTGGTCCTGTGTGCTGCGGATCCAGCTGATGATCTGGCCCATGTCTACCGGTGCTGAGTGTGTGGCGGCGTCTCTGTGGCTCTGCTGTGTCTGCTGTGCTGTCTGAGCTACAGCATGTTCCAGGCACAGGGAGCAGGAGGAGGGACTAGGGGGAGTGGTCAGGGTCAAAGGAGGTGTGGCTAGGGCACTTACTGGAGGCAGGCTCAAAAGGAGGGAGGGAAGGAGGAATGGCTAAATATGGAAGCACATGGAATGTATACCGCCTGACTGAGATGTCAGATACACTTTTAAGGCTGAATAGGAATAGGGTAAAAAATGTACTAATATATATCACCAGTCTTCCCCAGTTGATTGATTCCATTAAGAATTGTGACATTTTTTTTGTATAACAAGCTTTCTGAAATGCAAATATTTTAGAGGGGATTTTTGAATCTCTTTTTATCACTTCATAAATCCAAAAAAACAAAAACAAATGTCAACAGCACAAAAAAAAAAAAAAAAATCACCATGTTTTTTTAAGAATGAAATGTATAAAATCAGGCAAATAATTTAAAAAAAACTTTGATAAAAACCTCTACAAGAACCTTCAGAATATAAGTAGGAATAAAAAAACTGTAAAGTTTGGTGTAAGTGCTACTGATTTCTGGCCCAGTATGAAAAAAAGGCTTTTAAAGGTATGTATTGTAATTAAAATCTACACACGCAAATAGATAAAGTGCATGAAAATGTTGTTTGTCTACTAGTCTGAAAAGCCAAATAGCACAAAATCTCAAAATTGACCAGAGCACAAAAAAAAAAAAAAAAAAAAAAGTTTTTACCTGTAGTGACTTGCCTTAAAGCAGTGATATCCAGGGCGTATGTTTGCATGTTCACACGGTATGATCCAAAGGTTAACGTTTATGACTATTTTTATGGTGCATTTGAAAGATGTGCATACAGACACTAAATTACCTGAACCAACAAATGAAACAAAGTACAAACTAATTGGAACAGAGGTGCTCTGACTTATAATAGTGGCAGGGACTATATGTAACAAAAAGTGAGTGTATGAAGGCAAGTGTCAGGGCAAGACTTCCTGTGCTTTAGTGGGTCTGGTGCCAAGTGAAACTAAGCTGAAGCATGGAAGCCAAACAATTCCCTAAAAATACTCCTAATCAGCACGAGTAACCAGCAAGAAGTCCCATTTCAAGGGAAGGACGCATGATATCTTTACATTGAGTGTCTAGCAAGAGCTTCTCAATCATCAGTTCACTGAATAATGTTTCAAATGTGCAGAGCTGAAATCAGGGACTTGCACTTACGAAATATTCGCCTATTATGCTGCTATCCACCCCAAATGATGAGAACAAAGCATGCCTGTTCAGTGAGATGGGACTGGGTGTGAACATCCATAATGTCCAACCGACATCTCATGTTCAATCAGATTTGGATATGCAGTTATGCGTGTTAGACAACTGAAGACAGCCAATCTGTGTCAAAGAGCTTTAAAGTTTTTTTATACCATGAGCAATTGGCTTACCAAACTCTATTTGGAGTTAATTCATTGCCTGAAAGTCATTAAATAATCTTTCAAAAACTTGAGTAGGGGTGGATATGTAAGCTATGTATAGCTGCATGGGAATGTTACTGTTTTTATTTTGTGTATATTTTTTATGTTTTGTGATGTCCTTGTGTGTGGTGTATAGTGAAGCCAAAGACAAATTTCCACTTGTGGACAATAAATGAACTAAACTAAACTAAACTAAACTTGTGCAATCAATGTTAAGTATAGCAAAGTAGACTCAGATTTGCAATGTTAAAATGTTGTTAAAAAAAGTGTTTTTCACTTAATAATTTCAATTGAATTGACTAAAAATAACAAAACTTCATTCTTGTAGCATTACTGAGATTGGGCAGGTGATTTTTTTTTTAGTTCCCAGTTGAAAAGAGGCTGTCATAAAACAAGGTTTTCATGTTGCTTCAATGAAAGAAGCAAATCCTAATCTTCCATTTTATGTGTATTATTATATTATATGATCTGAGAATAATCTCATATCAAGTATGTAATCTTTTCTTTTGCAAAAAGGTATGTTCAAAAAACACATTCCCGCCTATCTTATTGCTTAATTTTACGAGAAATCAATCCTCTCAATTCTCACCACCTGACTGGAAATGTTGACTTGCATTCCTGACGGCTTCATTTCAACATATGAAGCCTTAATCAACAGCAGCCCACTGAAGCGCTTAGCATCAATCCACAGCATGATGTCCGATTGAGAGAGTCCAAAGGAACCTGATATTATAAACTCACATGGCTAATTATTTCCAGAGAGCTTCTTAGAAATACAAAAACGCTGCAATAAATAACAGCCCAACAGAGGGCAAAATATACTAAATTCAAATCTAAATTAAGAGGTCAATCCGTTTAAACATGAAACCTAAAGTAGGATAATATCTTTCATATTCATAGGTATTGACAGAGCCTGAAATGTAAAGCTTTTAAATATATATATATAAGTTGTTTTTTAAACCAAGTTTTGTTTTTCAGCAAGGATGCATTAAATTGATTAAAAGTCACAGTACACTCTAAAAAATGCTGGATTGGTTTAACCCAATTTTGGGTCAAATATAGACAAGCCCAGCCGTTGGGTTACATTTTTAAATTGCATTTTGAATCCAATGTTTGGGTTTGTCCATATTTGACCCAAAATTGAGTTAAAACAACCCAGCATTTTTTAGAGTGTAAGAATCAGTAACATTTATAATGCATCAAAAGATTTCCAAGTGAGGTTATCACTATCAGCAACCCAACCCTGCAAGCCCATTTCTTCAGTACCACCATACTACCAGCATTACTGTATAGGAGTGAGACATGGTCTCTAACAACAACAAAAAATTAACAGAAACTCACTGTAACTGAAAGAGCAATGGAGCGATGAATGCTACAATTCATGCAAAGAGATAAGATCACATATACATGTCAAGCTTGAAAGATGTCATCATGGAGCAAAAAAAAAAAAAGCACAGTCGTTTGAATAGAGGATGATCGATAGACGCTGAAAGTAACAACGACCACTTGGACGCCTACCAACTCGATGCTCAGATTCCCCAAAACCTGAATGCGAACAGCCAGAGACAGACACAGATGGGAGAAATGATGTGACACGCATGATCCACCGGAGAACAGGCCGAATAAAGAATAACAAGAAATGCTTCTTAAGCATCAAATCAGCATTTAGGAAAAATGATTTCTGAAGGATCATGTGACACTAAAAACTGGAGTAATGATGCTGAAAATTCAGCATGGCATCACAGGAATAAATTACATTTTTAAAATATAGTAAAATAGAAAACAGTTATTTTAAATTGGAATAATGTTTCACAACATTATTACTTTCATTGAATGTTTTTTTTAAATAAATGCTGCCTTGGTGAGCAGAAAACTTTTGAATGGTAGTGTACATTTAAAAAGAGAAACCTAGAAGCTAAAGCAACGATGTCCACACTTGAATAACTCAATACATAAAGGAACAAGCGAGTCTCAACCTTTCGCAGAGGAACATCCTGTATTTGTGCACACAAACACACGATTTTTGTAAAACAAAAGGTTCGACAACACCCACATACTTTCCTGTAACATTCAGAAGCACTAAGGCTCAAGCTTTGTGAAATTGTGAATATTAACTGACATTAACACCTGAAGGCAGAAGACGACTAATTATTAATGGTTTTAAGCTGTTAAAAAAAAAAACTCTGAACCTCCGACATGTTTATGCATGAGATTATCTGTCAGACACTTTGCAGACACACCTGAGCATTTCTTCTGCGGGCTAACCGAGCGAGTTAAACCAGCTGTGTTATCTTGAGAAAACTCAGTGACATGTTCAAGCTTTTTTTTTATTTATCCTCCTAAAATTTCCTAGCTAATATACTAGCTTACATTAGGCCTTGTACTGAGTTTAGTGGGCCCTGGCGTTGCCAGTCCGGTCCCCGGTGCGTGTCACTGTAACTGGAGCTCCTGATGAGTTTTAGGATATATATATAAATAGTAACAAAATGTCCCTGAGAACATTTCACGACACTGTCACGGGACTCTGACACATTGCAGCCCAACCAGGGGCGTACAAACAAACAAGTGCATTCTAGCTATACAAAATCAATATATTTAATGCACTCCACATTCATAAATGCATTCCACTGTTGTTTCTGTGGGTACAGCTCTCTGAAGTAGATGGAGTATGTGTCATAAAGGAATGCTGTTTTACATTTCCTGGGCTGGATGTGCAAACATGACAGAGCTGGGTTATAAAACATTCATGGCTTTGGAGAGTTACAGTTTATATCTGTGACACACAAGCCTGATTGGGAGCAATAACTCAGCTGGACTGCAAGGCTTTGACTCATAAGGACTATTACAGTCCACAAGAGGGTGTCAATGCTCCATTAGAAGCCAAAGCATCAAAAGTATATACTTGATCAATGAACTACAGGTTTCTTAAAGGTATAATTCACCCAAAAATGAACATTCTGTCGTTAATTACTCACCCTCATGTCGTTCCAAACACTAAAGACTCACACTCCATGACTTTTCCAGTCATTCATTGTTACTGGATACAGATACAAAACCAATGAAATAGTATACAATGAGGATACCTATTAAACAAATTTTATTATAGAAATTAACTTGACTTTCTTGAGTTTGCTAATTTGCATGACTTTCATTGCCTGGAAAGCACATGTCTAGAAATCTGATATTTCCAGGTTTTCCATGCCCGTGGGAACCCTGTAGCATATTTGATATTAGCATATTCTAATGTGAATTATAATTTCGAAACAACACATTAAACATAAAACTGTAAATGGTGGCTTACCTGGAATCTTGAGGTCTGAGGAACACAGGCTTGTGTTTGCAACGAAGTGTCACCTTTCTAGAAAGAAATAAAGACAGACACAAAGAAAAGTGATTAAGCGCCCTGTCAAAAATTACAATAACCTAAGGGTTTAACATGTCACTACACCCAATATGATGAATAAATAACAATCTATCTGAGAAATATAACCCTACAGTCAAAAGCATCAACTGAGAAAATATTTTTGACATACTAGATTTTTTCCATTTCTGTCATTTCTCCTTGAAATTTACATTACAATACTTACATACTTATGTTACATTATTACATAAATTAACTCATTTTATTATAGGGTTGACACTTTGATTTTACAGTTAGGTTTATTTTTTCACTGTACGCCAT